GCCCAAGGCCACCTCTACTTCTACTATCCTATAACGCTTTAACCTTTATTTGTGCTTTTTTGCCTAACCATATAAATTTATTAATCATTTTATTTAATTCATCAAAAAAAAAATTCCCCAATTTTATTGGAACTGTTTGAAAGAGGTATAATAATTTTGGTAATACATTCATTTTAATTGCCGAAATCCTTCCTAACAATGATAATTGTAGTTTCCCCCAAATCTCTAAGTCTTTTTGTATTTGTAGTATCAATTTTTTATAATTATCTTCTTTTATTGAGGGACATCTTATGGTGAGCCAAATTCCTAAATATTTGATCTTTTTTACAATTTGCAGCCCCAAATTTTCTTCTAATCCCCTTTTTTGTTTTTCAGTTAAATTTTTAACTAATATTTTAGTCTTTTCTTTGTTTATTTTTAGTCCCGCCACCATTCCATATTTTTCTATTTCATTCATTAAAATATAACCTCTTTCTAATGGTTCCTCTATAAAAAACACCAGATCATCTGCGAATGCCTGTATCTTGTATTCTTCTGTTTTAACCTTTAATCCTTTTATCTCTTTATTATTTCTCATTTGAGTTAGTAGCACTTCTAACGTTAGAATAAAAAGTAGAGGTGACATTGGGCATCCCTGTCTTGCTCCTTTGTTAATTTCTATCTTCTCTGTATTCTCCCCATTTATTATTATTCTAGCCTTTTGTAGTCTATATATTGACTTTATCATTTGTTCAAACTTCTCGCCAAATTTCATATTTTCTATTAATTGGAACATAAATTGCCAATTAAGGTTATCAAATGCCTTCTGAGCATCTAAGAATACTAATGCGGGGTGTGCTTCGTAGTATTCCAGGACATTTAGCACAATCCTCGTATTATTCCTAATTTGTCTGGTAGGTAGAAAACCATTTTGATCCGAATATATTATTTGGTTTAATATTATTTTTAGTAGTTCTGCCATTATTGTAGTAAAAATTTTATAGTCCGAATTCAACAGCGAGATTGGTCTATAATTTTTTATTTGTTTAGGATCCGTATCTTATTTTGGAATTAGAGTTATGTTGGCTTCTGTCCAGGAGTCTGGTAATTTAGCTTTCTCCAATACATCATTATATACATCTAATAATATCATTTCTAAGTCTTCATACAAAGTCTTATACCAATGGTAGCGAACCTATGGCACGGGTGCCAGAGGCGGCACTCAGAGCCCTCTCTGTGGGCACATGTGCCGTCGCCCCAGTCTTAGGCCTTCAGCTGGGTTTTATAAAACCTTTTCACTTTAGGCCTCCATCGCCATGTGCCAAAAAAAAAAAAGGTTCAATCAATTAGTCAATTTCAACTTCTCGTGGGAAAAAAAAAGATCTTGCAAAGTTGGAATTGATTGATTGAACTTTTTAGACCCACCCAGTCTGCCGTTACCACCGCAGCCACGCCCACTTAATGGGCCACGCCCACCCGGCACTCGACGATGCATAAGTGGGTTTTGGGTTGTAGTTTGGGCACTCGGTCTCTAAAAGGTTCGCCATCACTGTCTTATACACTTCCCCAGGTATACCATCTGGCCCCGGAGCTTTATTATTTTTTTGCTTTTGTACTGCCAGTTTTAGTTCCATTACTGTTATTTTTTTATTCAATAATTCTCTTTGTCCTTCTTTTAATTCCGGGAGACCATTGGCCTTTAAATATTGTTGTATATTTTCCTCCTCTATTTCCTCTTTCTTATATAGACACTCAAAATATTTCTGAATTATTTTTTTCTTTTCATCTATTTTATATTGCACCTCTCCATTTTTGTCCTGTAATTCCTGAATAAATCTTTTTTCCTTTTTTTTTTTTAATTTATAAGCAAGCCACCTCCCAGGTTTATTTGCGTGTTCGAAAAATTTTTGTTTGGTTATTTTCAATTCCCTTGTCAATTCCTCTTGTTCTATTATATTTAATTTATGTTTGGCCAGAGTCATTTCCTCTTTAATCCTTTCATCTTGTGGCTCCTGCTGTAATTTGGATTCTAATTTTTTGATCTCATCCAGAAGTATATTTTGTGTCTGTCTTTTCACCTTATTTTTCCTAGCCGTGTATGCTATTGCTATACCTCTGAGATATGCTTTGGCGGTGTCCCTTATGATTTGTAATGATGTTTGTTGTTTAGTGTTCTCTTTAAAGAATAATTCCATCTCTTTTTTTATCCTTGTAATAAATTCTCTTTCCTTTAAAATTTGGATATTGTCTACCTTCTCTTTATTTTTTTTTCTGACCTGTCCACACTATCTTCAGGGGGTTATGATCTGCCCATATGTTTGGGCAGATCATAACCCCCTGAATCACTTCTTTGAGTGAGGGGTTCTTGCCGGCTGCCTTGAAAGAGGCTGTGGTGAGGCCCCTCCTCAAGAAGCCCTCCCTGGACCCGGCTACTTTGGCCAACTACCGGCCTGTCTCCAACCTTCGCTTTCTTGCGAAGGTTGTTGAGAGTGTGGTGGCACGACAGCTCCCTCAGCACCTGGAAGAAACTGTCTATCTAGACTC